CTAGAATTCCTGAGCCAGCCTGGCTCAGCTTGGAAACCTCTCCCTTTCCCCTCAGCATGGCTGGCTCAGGAATTCTGGGAGTTGAAGTCCACCAGTCATAAAAGAGCCAAGGTGGCCTACCCCTGACCATGGTCATATGATCCAAATCCAGAGAGAGTATAGGCCAGGGGTAGGCAACCTTGGCTCTTTGATGACTCGTGGACTTCAACTCCCAGAATTCCTGAGCCAGCATGGCTCAGCTTGGAAACCTCTCCCTTTCCCCTCAGCGTGGCTGGCTTAGGAATTCTGGGAGTTGAAGTCCACAAGTCATAAAGAGCCAAGGTTGCCTACCCCTGGACTAGTCCAGAGGTAGGCAACCTTGGCTCTTTTTATAACTTGTGGACTTCAACTCCCAGAATTCCCAAGTCAGCATGGCCGGTTCAGGAATTCTGGGTATTGAAGTCCACAAGTCATCAAAGAGCCAAGGTTCCCCCACCCCTGAGCTAGGAGAATCTGGGAGACGACCTTGAGCCGGACTGTTCCCAGAATAAAATATGCAGACTAGGAAGTCCCCCCCCCCCAAAAAAAAGGAACAGATCCTTTAAAAAAAAATAAAGTTATCTTAACTCCCTTTCATTGTTCTGGGATTCTGTAGGGAAAAATTAGGGCTGGCTCTTTTGTGAAACACAGCCTGGCATTTACAGATCTTTTAAAAATCAGAGGAAAGGTTTAAATCTATTTTTTTTTTTTTAATTTGAGAAAAGGAGTTGTCTTCCAGTCAAGCTTGACTCCCAGTAACTGCACGGACTTGTCTAGGCAATCTTCTTGACAATATTACACAAAAGGTTGCCCATTGTGTGTGTGTACAGGATGTTTCCTTTTTTTCTAGTCTAGCCTCTAGCATTGGGATTCCCGATTATCTCTCCCAACTGCAAGTAGAGACCAAACTTGTACAACGATTTGCAATCAGGCAAATCTACTCAGGAAGAATCACGTAAAAAGACACACTTGGGCTGAACTACACACCTCTTGCGTTTCAATAAAGTTAGCCTCCTGGAGCGATTATTATTATTATTTTTAAATCATGTTTCCAGCTTGACCTCCTTATAGTAAGCTCACTGCAGGTCCTCCCCTTATGGCAGTTTGTTTAGTGACCGTTCGGAGTTGCGACGACGCTGAAAAAAGTGACTTACGGCCGTTTTTCCTCACACTTACGACCGTAGCCGCATCTCCGTGGTCACGTGATCAAAATTCAGATGCTTGCCAACTGACTCGTGTTTGTGACGGTTGCTGTGTCCCGGGGGGTGTGTGTGTGTGTCACGTGATCCCCCTTTTGCGACCTTCTGACAAGCTGGATTCACTTAACAACGGTGTGTGGCTAACTTAACAGCCGCAGGGATTCACTTGGCAACCGCGCCGAGGAAGGTTGTAAAATGAGGCCAAACTCACTTCACAAATGTCTCGCTTACCAACATAAATTCTAGCCTCAATTGTGGTCGTAAGGCGAGGACTGCCTGTATTTATAGCCTTCCTTTTCAATATTTTCATCCTGCGTGGGATATCGGTTGCCATAACTCCTTAGCCCAGGGGTAGGCCAACTTGGCTCTTTTGTGACTCATGGACTTCAACTCCCAGAATTCCTGAGCCAGCCACACTGAGGAGAAAGGGAGAGGTTTCCAAGCTGAGCCATGCTGGCTCAGGAATTCTGGGAATTGAAGTCCACGAGTCATGAAGGGGCCATAGTTCCCCCATGCTGGCTCAGGAATTCTGGGAATTGAAGTCCACGCATCATAAAAGAGCCAAGGTTGCCTACCCCTGTCCTATACCATATATATCCTATACCAGGGGAAGGGAACCTTGGCTCTTTTATGACTCATGGACTTCAACTCCCAGAATTCCTGAGCCAGCATGGCTCAGCTTGGAAATCTCCATTTTTCCTCAGCATGGCTGGTTCAGGAATTCTGGGAGTTGAAGTCCACGAGTCATAAAAGAGCCAAGGTGGCCTACCCCTGTCTTAGCCCGTACGGGAAGTGATGTCCGACGCCTCTAAATCAGCCATCTTGGAGCTACGTCAGGCTGTCCTCAGCGCTGACGATGCCACAGGTGGTTCTCAACTTACAACCATTTGTTTAGTGACCAAAGTTACAAAGGCCCTGAGGAAAGTGACTTACAGCTGGCTCCTGCCCTTGCGATTGTCGCAGCCTCCCTGGGGTCACATGATCAAAACTCAGGGCAGTTGGCAACTGGCATGTACTTAGGACGGTTGCAGCCTCCCCCCGGGTCACGTGATCCCCATCTGCGACCCTCCCAGCAGCAAAAAAGACAATGAGGGAAGCTGGATTCACTTAGCGACCGTGCGAGTCACTTCACAAGCGCGGTGATTCACACTCCACCACTACGGCCCAGAAGCTCGTATCAAATTGGGCGCCCTGCTTAGCGACTGGTCCCGATGATGGCCGTGCTGTTTTGTCGGCCCGCGTGGAAGCCTGGCTGTCCAGGCCGAGTTTCGAACCGGCCACCAAGCAGCGCTTGAACTTAGCGGAGACAGTTTCCAGGAGAGAAGCCCCGCGGGAGAGATTTTATTCGAGAAGGCCTCATAATTCCTCGGCGTTTGCTTCCCTCAGCTTTAGCCAAGGGCCCTTGAAGGACGCCCCAAACCTCATCTGCACGCCCCACGCGGCCTGGTACAGCGAACAAGCCTCGATAGAGATGCGGGAGGAGGCGGCGAGGGAGATCAGGAGAGCCATCACAGGTGAGCAGCCACGTTCTTCTGATGTCCATGGAGACCCTCCGTCCTCCAGTTCTCTTTTTCAAGAGGACTATCTTGGGTTTTTTTTTCCCCCTTGAAGACCTTTCGCTTCTCATCCAAGAAGCTTCTTCGGTTCTACTGAACAGTGGAGAGCGGAAGGATTTATATTCCTTGCAGTCCTCTGGTCATTTGCACTCCCTCTGAAAGTCGTTGAGGCCACTTGGACAGCTAAACAGATAAACCACCACCGACTCTCAGAGGGAACACTAAGGACCAGAGGACTGGAAGGAACATGAATCCTTCCATTCTCCACCCTTCCGTCAGAACCGAAGAAGCTTCTTGGACGGGAAGTGAAACGTCTTCAAGGAAAACAAAGGAAGTCCAGTTGCCTCTTGGAAAAAAAAGCAACTTTTGGGACATGTTCTTTTAAGGGACTTCCTTGGCCTAGTGCCCTAACTGGGTTCTTCTCTGTCTTCAAACAAACCTCGGTTAACTAAAGAACCACACTTTACTAATAGTAACATTTAGAGTCGACAAGGAGAGAAATAACCTCCCAAGTTTTTTTTTTTAATGTTGCCCTTCTATCACATCACTTGTTCTTAGGAAATTAGAGGGGAACTTGGTGTCCTCAGAACTTGAGCAAGTTTTTATAATAATAATAATAATGATAAAGTTGGAAGGGACCTCGGAGGTCATCTAGTCCAACCTCCTGCTTAGGCAGGAAACCCTATACCATAGGATAAGATAAGATAAGATAAGATAAGATAACCTTTATTGTCATTTTGTTTTTACTGTGGGCACAACAGCACACGTCAAAAATGAAATTTAATTGGCCCGCTCTCAAAGTGAAACACATACATGACGCACACCTAAACATACTACGAACAACATATACATAGACCCACATCCCCACATGTATGTAGCAAATAAACAGTTCCTTTGTCCAAAAGGCAGGGGTCGTCCAGGTAGCCATCCCAAAGCAGCACATTTTGAAATCTCATCCAGAGTCTGGAAATCATTTAAAACTAACCTTGGTGGAGTAGGTCCCTCAGAGGCTACGGAGAGTTGTCCCCTGTGAACCTTGTAAAGAACTCGTAAGAACAAGGCCGAGCATGCCAGGAGAATAAGACAATTCCTTTATTTAATAATGGCCCTTCCTGTCATAATGGGACAGAAGTTTTTGGAGCTTCTAGCTGTGGACCTCTGCAGAAGGAGGAAGGGTAGTCCTCTGCCAGACTTTTTCTCACTGGGGTGTGCGGAGACCCCTGTTATTCCCTGCTGGCCATAGAGGATTTGAAGGGCCAGGACTGTACAGATAATAATAATAATAAAGTTGGAAGGGATCTTGGAGGTCATCTAGTCCAACCCCCTGCTCAGGCAGGAAACCCTATACCATTCCAGACAAATAGCTGTCCAGTCTCTTCTTAAAAACTTCCAGTGTTGGAGGAGGGAGGGAAAGAAGGAAGGAGGGAGGGAGGAAGGAAGGAAGGAAGGAATGAAGGAAGGAAGGGAAAAAAAGTATAACAGACTCAGAAGGGACCTTGGAGGTCATCTAGTCCAACCCCCTGCTCAGGTAGGAAACCCTGTACCATTTCAGACAAATGGCTGTCCAGTCTCTTCTTAAAAACTTCCAGTGTTGGAGCATTCACCGCTTCTGGAGGCAGGTGGTTCCACTGGTTAATTGTTCTCACTGTCAGGAAGTTTCTCCTTAGTTCCAGGTTGCTTCTCTCTTTGGTTAGTTTCCATCCGTTGCTTCTTTCCTGCCTTCAGGCACCTTGGAAAATAGCTTGACTCCCTCTTCTTTGGGGCAGCCCCTGAGATACTGGAAGGCTGCTATCCTGTCCCCCCTCGTCCTTCTCTTAGTTAAACTAGACAGACCCAATTCCACCAACCATTCCTTATATGTTTTAGCCTCCAGTCCCCTAATCATCTTTGTTGCTCTTCTCTGCAGTCTTTCCAGAGTCTCAGCGTCTTTTTTACAGATGCAGGGGTCCCTTCAGCCTACAGACCAGGGTTTCTCCACCTTGGCAACTTTAAGACACGTGGACTTCAACAACTCCCAGAATTCACGGGTGGCTGGGGAATTCTGGGAGTTGAAGTCCACGTGTCGGTGGCCAAGGTTGAGAAACGCCCCTCGGTAGGATCTGAAGTCCTCTGGTGAGTGAGGACAAGAGTGTCAGCCTTGAAGCTCTCAGAGCTAGTGTCCTTTGATTGAAAGACGGGGAAGGAACTTCATCAAGGTTCAACCAAGGTGAGGACCAGAAACGTGGACCACAGGAAACAACTCTGACCTTACATAGAGGATCTACCATCTACCCTACCTTGGGCTGCTCCGTTGATCCCTTGCTTTTGCTGCTACGACCAGCGGAGGGGTGAAAAGAATAGACTAGAGTAACAGAGTTGGAAGGGACCTGGGAGGTCATCTAGCCCAACCCCCTGCTCAGGCAGGAAACCCTATACCGTTTCAGACAAGTGGCTGGTCCAGTCTCTTCCAGTGTTGGAGCATTCACCAGTTCTGGAGGCAGGT